CGATGAACGTGTTTTGTATGTTCAGAAAAAAAGGAAGTAAAGGAAATTTACAACCGCCGCATGTCTCGACACCACTTCTGTTCGAGTGTGCAACAGTAGCTTCTGGCGATGTTTGACATTTATCATTGATACAGAGCGACAGAGTAGATTGACACTTCAAATGAACAGAAAAGCAGGTCAGCCGTGGCGGTAAACATTTTCTTATCGCTCGGGCACAACTGAGCCCCGGATCCACCCGGAGCACATTTCCAGCGGAACAGACGGCTTTCTTCAATCGGCTGCAGCTTATCCCCCGGTGGGACTTTTTCCACGCCACGAAAAATACCACGCTGACACTCAAACGCTGAGTCGACCCGCCGCCGTCGGAGGGGAGGCAACTGACTGCGCACGGAGGATGAAAGTGCGATCTGAAGCAGCGAGCGGAGAGGGAAGCTGGGAATGGCGGAGTTTTTATCAACGTCTCCGACTGCCAGACAAATCTATTCAAGCTACAAAACTCCGGGTTGGACAGGAGGACTTGAAATGTCAAGATTACCGCGACTCTGCAGAGTATCACGTATGTCAAACCCGACATTTATATATAAAGATCAGATTAAGGGATAAGTTTGACTGTCGTTCAAGTTTGACTCATTTTGTGACACCCAGTTGTGACGATTTTGGAGCAGCCATGTCAGGAAAAGTAGGTAAATCCTAGAAAAGCATGCATGAAAAACAAGAACGGAAAAGTTTCAACTGTTATTGTGTTAGTTCGCACTACTTTGGAAATAAAAATAATCCCGAGATCACAGCATTTGATTAGGTTTAAGACCGAAAAGTTCTATTAAGGTTTGCATGACTGATCAAAAGCTCAGTAATTATGAATGTGTTCCTTGAATGCATCATTAAACTCCATTTAAAAAGCAGCATGCAGTCACAACATAAAAAGAAGACTGAGCATTAATCTTAAAAGAGTCACTTTAGAGCAAAAAAAAAAGATGAAGGTGAACTCAGACATGGAGCTTCACAGATTTCTGTGGTGAAGAGAAATCAACCCCCCGCACCTACTAAAGGTCTAACCTCTGCCTGCGTTTACCTTGCGTCTGAAGACGGAGAAGGCCAGCCCGCAGGCCTTGCAGAGCTGCCCGGCGCTCCCTGAGCTGGTGGGGGGGTAGGTGGAGTACCCTGCGCTGGGGGCAAAGCGGAAGGGCCCCGCCCCCGCTCCGAAGCCCGGCTGCGGTGTCCGCACTGTTCCCGTGCCCATCACCTCGTTCAGCAGCCCGCAGCATGACGCCCACATGGACGACGCCCCCGCCTGCCGGGGGCAAACACACATATTGGACTCTCACTAACGAGGAACGCGCATCCTCACGTTCTGCTTACGCTGCAGTCAGTAGCATGCACTGTTTTTTCAAACTAATCATGGTTTTTAACTGCGGAAGACTTGCACAAATTGAAACTCTCCCCATGTATGTTTTGTTGATGCAATTCTGTGTCACACATTCCTGTCCTCCTTTTCAGGAACTTTGCATGATGCAAGAGCTGGAATTAAAAAGTGAAGTCATGCGTTTTCACTGGAGAGCACAAATTTCTCTGACTTTATCATCAATGTGAGACATTAAAACATCGTTTTTACATGTGATCCCTGCAAAGCCGGAGTCAAATCAAACATGCCGACTTTCACTATGCAAGAGTATAGAAGACATATATAAAGGTATTATATTTATCATATCAATTGGGCTGGTATTCACAAATGATTGTACTATATTCACCATGTTGGCTCTGGGACTTTAACAGGTGTTTGAAAATGTGTGGAATGCTCTTGGCTCAGCTCAGTGTTTTCTACTAAAACCCTGCAGTAATTAACAGCTTATTTGCACCTCCCTCAATTTTCTATCCATCGCACACAGAATGCATTTCACCCTTAAGTGACAGAATGTCGTGCAACGAAAAATGCACTCATTGTGACTTGTACTGTGAATAGTTGCTGAAAAGTCGCTGATGTTTCACATCCCTGGAACACATTTAGTTTGTGGAGTTACAACCTTCAAGTTACTGGGATGCAGTAGAGCCCCTGACTTTCCAAGAATTCCCATTTTAGGAGACGTTTGTCTTTGGTTTTCCGATGTTGGAACAAAATCTGACTTCCGGGTACAAATATAACAGACAGAAATGAGTCCAGGTGAATTACACCATCATAAAAGTTTTCTAGCAGCTGGTGGAAATAGAAAATAAATAGAAAATAGAAAAGCCACAGGATAAAGACTCATGCTGAGTAGATATATTGCCTCATAAAAGTTATTTGGAAATCAAAACAAAACTCAAAAAAATCAACAAAAAAATAAACTGTATCGAGCTCAGGTCAGATTTTGATACAGTTTCATTCAATTACGCAACAATAAATTAATCTGTTTTGCTTCACTTAACTGCATCCAATTCAGCTCAGTTTGGCTCTAATTAGTTCATTTCAGTTCAAATTAATCTACTAAAAACAATTCAGTTCATTTCAGTTCAGTCGAGTTGATTGAACTTTAGTTTGCTTACACTTTGTCCATTTCAGTCCACTTTAATTTAGTAAATCCAGTTCAGTTCACTTTTATTTCATTTCAGTTCAGATTAGTCTCACTCAGTTTAACTCAATTTAATTCAATTATGTAACGCAAAATTTATAAACATCCCTTTTATTCAACTGAGTCCAGTCAGAACTACATTAAAATGAAATTTTATGCAATTCAAAACCGTTAGATTCAGTTAATTACAAATGCTTATGAGTGAAAATGTTTCTGTTAAAGGAAATTAATCAGTAACTGAACCAGTTAATATCTCAGAAGATCTTTCTAAAGCATTATGTGACTTTCTAGTGTGTGTTGCACATCACTTTTAACCATCATTAAGCTAGATGAAAGCAAATGCAGGGCCTTGTTGTTCGGCAGACTGGAATACACAGGAGAGAAAAAAAAACTCCCGACGTTTCGGTTCGCTTCAGCAGTGCCGAGTCACGGAGCGAAGACGGAGCGTTAGGAGCCGCGGCTCCTCGGAGCATACAGATGAGATGCGGGAGGAGAAAGAATACTCCTTCTGTTGTTCCCCCGGCTTCCTGAATCGATAGCTGACACGGGCGTAATGTAAGGCGGCTCTGTGTGGGAAACAATGCAGTCCACCGGGTCCAGCCACGTCCCGTCTTAAGACAGCGCTCTGTCACAAACACCCTGTGATCTGACCTCACCCGTCTGCTCAGGGATTCCTTATGTAATCTTTAGGAACAAGGCTCTATTTGTGGAGTCAGGTGGGGAAGGAGGCAGCGCAGCCAGACAAGTCAATGTGTCTCCCTGCAGTCGTGTCTCTTTAAAGTTCAAATCGATAATATTTAACAGCTTCTTGTAAAGTCTGTCCATTTCTGCTTGCCTGCCGCTTGTCCTTCTACTTACTTACTATTAAACCGATTGAAGAAGTCTTAAGTCATTTCAGTTTTTTTCTACTAGGGGATTATTAATAATTGATTTATCTTTTAGCAAACTTAGTTTACACCAACTTGAAATGCAGAATAAAATTTTTTTTTAAAAACACACATTTTGCAGTCGGAACAACAGAAAAGTCAGAAATATTAGCGAAAATGAGCCACAGTGCCAAGCGTATTTGTTCATACATCTAGTCTTATTTCCCTGCAGTTAAACCACAATGCACAACACTTTGCTTTGCTGGTATGAACTCGACTGGAGGTTTTACTGCCCAGCAGTCTCCCCGGTCAGATACATCCTCCCTCGTCCTGAAGGGAAAAGGCAACATTCACTGCATTCTCCAGGACAGGAGGAGAAGCCACTGCAGTCCGGCTATAAAAAATCAGGCTTATCTGGCTGTTTGCCAGCAGCTCGACTTTCCCCTAGTGTCACTTCCATTAGCAGGCTCAAAGCCCTGCAGGCGGGGAGTCCCGGACAAACAAGCAACAAGGGCTTCTTTACAGGAGATCTATAAGCTCTTCCAGAAACATGGACGGTGTTTTTGTTCTCTCATCATCTTTGGTCGGATATTCAGCAAGCAGTGGAGATGTTTTACTGAAATTAAACACCGCTAAATACTCGCGAAAGAACAAGTATGGCAAAGCAGCAAATGCCAACAGAGGACCAGTCTTCAGTGGAAATCTTGGACTTCATAAAATCAGATAAAAATAATTCAGTTCAATCAGCCCACTGAGTTCATTCCAGTTCAGTTAGTTTGGTACGAATCAACTAAGCTCAGTTCAGCACAGCTTAGTTTAATGTTGTTCAGTCTGTATATATTGGCACTAATATCAGTATCGGCTGATATAAGTCATTTTTTAACATACAGTATCAGTCATGTAAATGAAACTCGCTGCCATCTTGTTTCTGGAGAAGGAGAGGAGGACGCTGGTCATGTGACGCCGTGGGAAACTGCAGATAAGCAGAGGTGAAGTGTGTGGTCGTTTTCTTAAATGTGTTAAAAGGGAAGTGAAATGTTTGTAACGTACAGCTAAGGAAAAACTTAAGAGAACACAACAGTTTCTCTGATTTTACTCCTGAGGTATATTTTTGAGTAAAATGAACTTGTTCTTTTATTCTATGAACTACTGATAACATGTCTCTGAAATTCCAAGCAAAAACGTGATATTTATTTGCAGAAAATGAGAAATGGTCAAAATAACAAAAAAGGTGCGGTGCTTTTCTTTTAATAATGCAATGAAAACAAGTTGGCTGCACAGTGGCGCAGTTGGTAGAGCTGTTGCCTTGCAGCAAGAAGGTTCTGGGTTTGATTCCCGGTCTTTCTGCATGGAGTTTGCATGTTCTCCCTGTGCATGCGTGGGTTTTCTCCGGGTACTCTGGTTTCCTCCCACAGTCCAAAAAAAAAACATGACTGTTAGGTTAATTGGTCTGTCTAAATTGCCCCTAGGTGTGTGTTTGCTCATGGTTGTGTGTCTGTGTTGCCCTGCGACAGACTGGCGACCTGTCCAGGATGTACCCCGCCTCTCGCCCGGAACGTTAGCTGGAGATAGGCACCAGCACCCCTCCCGACCCCACTGAGGGACAAGGGTGTTCAGAAAATGGATGGATGAAAACAAGTTCATATTCATTTAGAAACAACAATGCTAATGTTTTAACTCAGGAACAGTTCAGAAATCAATATTTGGTGGAAAAACCAGGAGGTTCAGTGCAGTGGTCTCTCCAGTTTTCCACCTATGTAGTTAAAACATGAAAATTACAATCACAGCACATACAATCATTTGTTGTAGTTTAAATAAAAAACTCAAATCCATGGGTCTTAGAACCACTGATGATACCAGTTTTAAATTTGTAACCAAATCTGTTGTCAGGAAATCAACAAAGCTTTAACTTCACGTAACAAAAAAAATCACAAAAAGACAATCTGAATCAAAATTGTCTTCAAAATACAAAATTATATCAACCAGGGCAAAATGAACCTACAAATCAAAACAAAAAAAATCCATCCATCCAATTTAAGATTCAGTTAATTACAATTCAGCTTAATTGAATTCTTCTAAATTGAATTGAATTCATGTCATCTTAATTTAGTTTTAATTTTCGTTAGTTTAAAATTCGGTAAATTCCTTTCAGCTCAGTTTGCTTTCAGATCAGTACAGCTCAGTTCAATTAAGTTGATAACAACGAGCACCAGCAACATCAATAAAGCAAAACACTCACATTTATTCAAGTTGCGGTTCAACACCATTGGATTTAATTAATAATAAATGCACGAGTTAAAGGAAACCAGTGAACGTCATCAAACTTCTTGCATCCAACCTGGTTGTGTTTCAGAAACTGACAGAGGCCCAGACTTAAATAGAAATCCTACAGGGAAAAGACTCGTGTAGATAAAAAGGATGTCTGACCTCATAAAATGAGCCTTTTTTGGTGAACAAAATGTGAAAAAGAAACGCTCTGGCATCCGGAAAGCTAAATCAGAAGTAACTGGGTCAAAGAGGCAGACCAAAGTGTTTAATTAGGACTAAAAATGAGTCAGAAAATGCAAAACAAGGCCTAATTAAGATGGATTTTAATGAATCGCTATATGAATTTTTCGGCACTAACAAGTTCTCCATTCAGCAACTGAATGACCCTAAAAACTTCCTCCTTATGAAACATTTCCACATGTTCCATGTTGAATTAGTGATGTATGACAATTTGGCTTTTGAGGTCAGTCAGCTGCAGGGTGGATTAAAATGTTTGCGTCATCAGAGTTTCTCCGAGCGCAGCCTCTATGTGACATTTCTCTTTGGATTTCAAGCATATTTAATGGAAATGAACTCTCCTGGCAAAAAGAAACGCTGCGATTGATAGAGGT